GCCCAGTGGGTCAAGGCTGCGGTGGCCGGGAGCGGCCACTGCATTCCAGTCTGGGCGACGGAGTGAAACTCCAACTCAAAAAACCCAAAAGAAAACAAAACAAAAAAAGAAGAAGAAAAAAAAGCAGGGCTCAGAGAGGCAAACTTCTTACAGAAAGTATCCAGCATTATCTGGGGAGACAGGAATGAAAAATCTGGACAAGCAGGACTCACAGAGTCCTTACAGAAAAATTTCTTACAGAAAAGTATCCAGCATTATCTGGGGAGACAGGAATGAGCAAACTGGACAATAGAAAGACTTTTGGGGGACAAGAATGATTTATCAGACCTCAACTTGGCCTGGAAAAACCACTTCTGAATGGCTTCCCTGCTCAAAAACTGTTACCTTCTGATTAAATTCATACACAACATTCATGATCAGCATGGGGATACCATCCACTATTTTATAAACAAATAAACAAGTCTTCTGGTTTGGACAGTGTAACATGAAGAGCTTGTGGTACCGTGGGGTCTACAAGTGTGGACAAACAACTGGCAACTCTACGTCTGCAGTCTGCATCTTAAAAGACAGCCAAGGTACGAAAGAGTTTGGGAGTGAAGAGCATGGAGGCGGTAGTTGAAGCAGTTAGAGGTGATGAGATTACCCAGCGGGTGGTGATACAGACCAAGAAGAGCAGGAAAGAGGCTAAACACAACCTGGGAGAGTATCAATGTGTAAGCAACAAGTAAAAAAAGAGGCTCCAAAACATAATAAAAAGGAAAGGCTATATAGGTAGGAGAGAAAGGTGTACTCACAGAAGCCAAGGCAGGAGAAAGTTTCAAGGAGGGAATGGTCACAGAACTGAGTGCTGCAGAGAGATCAGGTAAGAAGTACAATAAATTGAGCAATGACTGATGATCTCAGCAAAAGGAGTTTCTAAAGACTGGGAAGTGCTGAAGCCAGAACATAGCAGGCGGACTGAGGCAGCCATGGGAAGTGGGGGGTAATACATAATGTGGGGGCAGTATCTTAACTAATTTAGTTCAAAAAGAAGGAAAAAGAGCTCTGGCTAGAGGCAAAAGGTCGATATGTATATTGTATTTTAAAGATCCCTGGGCATATTTCCAGAATGAAGAGAAAGAACCAGTAAAGAGGGAAGAGTTGAAGAGAAAGCAAAAAAAAAAAAAAAAAAAAAAAAAAAAGGGG